TAAAGGCTAGTTGCCTCCCTAAGCGGACCCTCCGCATCCTAACTCTTCTGTTAATCCACTTAATGCTACTAGGCTGTCTAAATTTTCTTATTTAAGTTCGTTTGATGATTATGATATCTCTAGTCTAATTTAATAAATAATTGAAATCTCTAATCTACCTACCATGCTTTATTAAGTACCTGCACTTGTGAATGTAATCTAAAATTTAACGTGTTTCAAGTTGTTTTTGACTTTGACCTATATTTAATATATATTAGTTCGTCCCAGGTGACACCTTCAAGTGACTAAAATGCTTCACTTTGAAGTTAGTTTCCTAGCTGATTTTTAAATTACATAGTGTATATGCTTCAACTACGCTCCCACGTTTCCACTATGTTGCGCCACAAAAATACGTATGTCACAATTGAAGCACGCCACAGTGGAAATCCCGAGCCATAGTTCAAACACTTATCCCAAATCAAAATGAAGCACATATAAGATTAGTTGCAATACCATGTACAAAAATGGTGTTTAATATTGTTCCCTGAGTAATATCTCAATGAAAACAACAACGAAAGCTTGTCACGCAAGTATAAGGAGTACTGTTGGGCACTTTCTGAAATATTTCAATAGTATAATTCCCTTACAAACCCAAATAAATCTATCTGCGTTAAAATAAATAAAATAAGAGGGATTTGCGGCAAAACTCGCCAGTATAGCACCCAACGTCAGTGCCTATACGTAAGCGTACTACAACGCGGCTTTCAAATAAAGGAGTAACAAGTGTGATACTATCACTTCAGGCTAGAACTTTGGTTCTCTGATGCAATGGTTCATCAGAAAGGGGAAGCGCTATTTTGTCACGGCATGAGCCAACGATGCCGGACCTAAACTAACAGTCTCCAACGCTCCACTATGAATCATAACGGGGTAACATTGATAGTTTTTTTAAAAGTATATTCAAAATATTTTTACAACAATGAATATTTTCAAATTTTTTTATTTTTAAAACAAGTACTGAGGATCCAAGAGTTAATTCGTTAGTAACGGGTGTTTAATAAAAAATGAGAATATTTGCAGTCATATAGCTAGTAAAAATAAATGTTTCAACAAATTCAGTATTTTTTTTTATTAAAAACATAATGTTTATTCTTCAAAAAAACGTCAATGAATATTGGAGAATGGGCCCTGGTCAGCCGTACGACGCAACTTAGTCGCGATGCTCTCACAAGAGCGTTGGACGGCACTCATTCTCATATAATATGTTGAACAAAAATTAAAGCATTTGCACTTTTTTTTTTTTGCTTTATTAGAGAGATTTTTAGCCTTGGGCTGGTTCATGTCTATAGCATTTGCACTATTTTTTTAGTTTAGTGACCGAACTTCAGTTTTGTGATTTGGGGTTGCTTCGATAATGCTCGATGAATTTACAAAAAAATGAGTGAAACTCAAACAATAAATCCAGTTCTTTAAATATGAAACCTTGGATGAGTATTTAATCAGAAACTTCATAAGCAATAAGAATACAACATTGAATTTGTGATGGCTATATTGGAAATACATTTCATAACCCAAGTAACAAGAGCTGCTTGGCTATATTCAAAATTTATAAAGGTTTTATTGCAGCTGCAACCATTACCTACAGCTTTATCACGGTTATATACAATGCAAGTCATGAAACATTCTTATAGCTATCTACAAAACCCCTATAAAGCTAATTAAAAAACCAACTGATGCTTATGCTATTTTCACTTATAAAAGGTTTTATGATTGCTTTGAAATATACAAAAAAGTAATATGAATTGCCCTTATAAAACCAAAAAATAAATCCTTTCGTTGCTTTATAAGTAAGCGCAATAAAACTAGTTGGCCATGAAACAGTTATTTTAAAACAATTATAAGCATTCAGTTGCAACTTGTCAGAAATGTAAATAGATGGTTTATTTTTACAACATAGAAAAGAATCCAAACTTTCCGGTACTTCCAAGCGGAGCGCAAAGAAAATCAACAAAATTGTTAGCATGAGCATGAAAACATTTCGTGTATACGTATACGCGACGTAGTGTGCGTAAGAAAAACGTCAGCAATCTCCATGATTCTTCCGTTCTCGCTCGCATATACATGGGGTGACACGGTCGAATCTTGGTCGAAATACATGGAATGGTGACAGTCCTAGGGCAAAAAGGTTGAAATCACGCATAACTTTTCATAAAGGTTAATGTACCATTCAAAACTTTTCTAAATGTTTGTAAAATTCATCGGTTGCACCCGTTGAATAGGAATATACATTTACCCTCAAATAAAAAATGAATTCAAGCTGAACATTGCATTAGGTTCTAAGTAATATTGACAGATTCGCTTCGTCAACTTTCTCTTTGCATCCCCACGGTCATGTAAAGACATTCCCAGGTATTTTCAGCACATAAATCGATAAAAGAAGCTTTTATCTAGCATCCAATACGACAAACACATCAAGAAACGGTTCTGTGAATAAGTTATTAACGAAAGAGAAAGTCGACGAAGAGAATCGATCAATGTTACTTAGGACCTAATGCAAATTTCAGCTTGAATTGCTCTTGTAAAAAGAAAATAGTTCTCGTAATAAAATCATGCATTATGCTTTTCTGTTCTGCTTTCATCCTATGCGCACTGGGCCAGGAATGCAACCTAGCGGAGCAAAATTAATAACTCCGAAACTAAGCATTTCCGCGACTTGGTGTCTTCGGCAAAATTTCTCGTCATAATAAGGACCATCTATTGACATAAACAAATAGTTCAAAACTCTTCCGCAAAGATGGTGTCACAATCTAACTTCTTTCTCTGACGTTTTGGAAATTTGATGTCTTCGGCAAAGTTGTTTATCTTGACAAAATGAACAGCTCTTTCAAAGACGTTAAATTTCCACAGTCTACTGGTTCCAAGTTATATGGAGTTAAAGAAAAAAAGGTCGAAAATATGGTTTTTTTTTCTGTTTTGGTTTTTTTGCTTACAGCTTTATAATGTTATATTTTTCTCTTATGCAAATACATTAAATAAATAGCTTTTGTGAAAAAACATACTGGATTAAGCTTCAAATTTCAAAGATATTGTTGAAAAAACGAGAAAAAAACACAATTTTTGAACATTAATACCTCCCAAAGCGCAAAAAATCGCAACCTGACATTTTCAGCAAAAATTAAGCAATACTAGATAAAAAAATATCAAAATTTGTTTGTTGTTTGTTATCAAGATCAACAATTTTGCCAAAGTTGTCAAGTCTTCAAAACGCCATTTCAATGCATTAAAAAAAAGTTATAGAAAAAAAATCATGTTCCACTAAAATGAAGAAATCTAAAAAAAAACACCAAAATATACCTCTCTCAAATTTTGATATTTTGTTTATCGAGTATTGCTTAATTTTTGCTGAAAATGTCAAAATTGTGTTTTTTTTCTCGTTTTTTCAACAATGTCTTTGAAATTTGAAGTTTAATCCAGTATGTTTCTTCACAAAAGCTATTTATTTAATGTATTTGCATAAGAGAAAAATATAACATTATAAAGCTGTAAGCAAAAAAACCAAAACAGAAAAAAAAACCATATTTTCGACCTTTTTTTCTTTAACTCCATATAACTTGGAACCAGTAGACAGTGGAAATTTAACGTCTTTGAAAGAGCTGTTCATTTTGTCAAGATAAACAGCTTTGCCCTAGACATCAAGTCTCCAAAACGTCAGAGAAAGAAGTTAGATTGTGGCACCATCTTTGCGGAAGAGTTTTGAACTATTTGTTTATGTCAATAGATGGTCCTTATTATGACGAGAAATTTTGCCGAAGACACCAAGTCGCGGAAATGCTTCGTTTTGGAGTTATTAATTTTGCTCCGCTAGGTTGCATTTCTGACCCAGTGTGCAATAGACTGATGCAAATTTTGACATTTTCGCTCCACAGTGCTCAAACGGTTCCAAATCGGGTCCTGATTAGTCTCCCAAAATTTGAACTAATCTGAAAAGAAACTGACTTGGCACAAACCATTTGAAGTTTATATGGAAATTACTATGGGAAATCCAAACTTTTTGTTCATTATCTTCTTACCTTTTTCCATTATGGCACTGTTCAAAAATTCAAAAGCTATGCAGAAGCTTGACAAAATGATTAATTAAATAAAAATGATTTATTCCCCACACAGTTTTACCACCAATCAATACGAAACTAACGATTTTAAATTGGCTCACTACTTGACTAGCCTATTGGTCCCAAGCAAACTATTAATGTACCCCATTCTAGTCGAAATTCTAGTACTACGCAATGTTTGTTTTGATTCGCTATGAAAGTTTGACAGATAAAATGAGGGGTTATTGGTTTTTCCTATGTTTCGAGGGGTGAATCGATTAGCTTGGGACCGAAGAGAGTACCAGAGCTGAGCAAAAACGTTGAGCTCGTTTCTTCGGGACCTGGTCTTAGAGTTACCTCTATGGTTTTACCAACAATCAATACGAAACTATCGATTTTAAATTGGCTCATTATTTGACTAGCCTATTGCTCCCAAGCAAATCGATTAACGTACCCCATTCTAGGCAAAATTCTAGTGAAAATTCTAGTATTTTCCTATGTTTCGAGGGGTGCATCGATTAGCTTGGGACCGAAGATAGTACCAGAGCTGCGCCAGATTTTAAACAATATCTCAACAATATCTGACTCTTTATCAAATCCAACGGTACGTATGGAAAGGTGAATGAATTTAGAAGTCCTCTTTGACAGAAATATTCCATTTTTTGTTTAAACTCGTTCAGAAAAGAGAGGTAAAGCGCGGGTTGTGCTCAGTAGGACGGATCAAAAACTCTACCTACCGATAAAATATCAACGTTTTAAACATATTCATAATGTATACCTGCATAAAAAACTGATAATAGTTGTTTTTTTTTCCTTTAAGTGATATTTTGATACGATGCGAGTGAAACGAAATTTCATGCATATTAAGTCGGCTTAAGTTTTTAAGTTTAATTTGTTTATTTTTCGATACAACTTTTCAACGCCTTAAACTTGTTAGACTTGAAGTTTTTCTGCTGCCATATTGGTGGGGTTCATCTGGGATTCCTTCATGTGTACTCGTTTGTGTCGTACCAAACTGTATTTTTGAGCAAAATGCGCTTGACACATATCACAGGAGAATGATTTTTTATCGCTGTGAGTTAGCTTATGCCGTATTAAATAGCCGAATGTGATAAACGATTTACTGCAGTCCTTACACTTGTACGGTCTCTCCTGTGTGTGACTTCTAATGTGAATCATCAATTCGGCCGAACTCGTGAATTCTTTGTTACAATGACTGCAAACATATGGTTTCTCGTTGGTGTGCTTCCGAATGTGTGTTGTTAGTTTGTACTTCTGGTGGAATGCTTTGGGACAGTATTCGCACTGGTAGCGTTTTGTTTCATTGTGAATAGCCTGATGTTGAGCCAATTTATGTACAAACTTGTTGCAGATTGTACATAGCTTTTTACTCTTTTCGTGTTCCGCAGTATGGACTCGTTTGTGGCACACTAAATGGGAAGATTGAGAATACTTCGCTGGACACATGTCACATATGTATGGTTTTAAGCCGCTGTGAGTTCGTGAATGCCGGTTGAGACTGCTGTGTGTGATGAATGATTTATCACAGTCCTTACACTTGTGCGGTCTTTCTTGTGTGTGGCTTCGTATGTGAATTGTTAATCCTTTTGCAACCGGTTCTGTTTCACGACTTATCTTTTCTCTTATTTTGTCATTACTGTTTCCGTCCGAATTGAGTGCTGCTTCTGTTTTTATATCCGGATACTCTATCGTAATTTCAGCAGTTTCTGTCTGTGAAATTGTGGTGTCCAAAATGTCTTTATCGTTCTCGCTGTAATCAATTTTAACTTCCCTTACTTCTGGCATATTATTCGAAACAGTGGTATGGTCTTTCCTTGGATCATCCTGGGTAAACATCTCTTTGAATACACGATCATTGGTGAAACACATTTCACGAAACGATTCATAATGTTGTAATGTATTTTCACATTCTAAGCATAACGAAGCTGGCGCGTTTGGAACATTTATAATCTGAAAGGTATTGCATTAGGTTATATTGTTTCCCTCAATTCAACATCCACCAACAAACCTTCAAAGTTGTGAGATTCTCAATCCATTCATTCAGCGATGAATGATCGTCCACGAAAATCAACTGATAGTGTTCACGTTCCGCAAAGCACAAGCGGCAAATCGATTCAGTTGATCTTTCCTTCTTTATTTCACTGGTCTCCATAGTAGAAACAATGTTGTTTGTATGTTCAGAAAGAATACTACCCGGTTTTGGAAAGTATTTTTCTTTCCTTCGATTACTTTTCAATCGAAAATGACAAAAAAATCTACCGAGTTTTTTTTTTATCAAAATACAAACCCAAATAGCAAAACAATAATGAAAAGAGAAACTTCTAATGTCACATTGGTGTACTAAAATGTGTTGATTGTTTTTGTTTTGTATGAAACTTTGTAAAAGTGAGTTAAAATCTACTCTCTTTCGGTAAAAGTGGAACTACTCTAAAGTGAGTAAACCTATAGTTACTCACTTTTGAGTAATGCTACACACCAAAAAATTCTGAATTTTACTGGCGATGTAAACATCCATGCATGCAAACATTCATACATGTAAACTTCCTTTTCACGTAAACTAGCAGCTTGCAAAAAATGTTGCAAACAAAAGTGGACAGTTTCATACAATATTTGGAATATTGCATGACATGTCTCATAAATTTACACGATCAATAATCTAAACTTGTAAGATATATGACGCTCCATTTATGTGCATCATAGTAACGGAAATTTACACTACTTTTTTTTAGCTGTGTAGCATTTGTCAAAATCAGAGTAACTTGTACTCAGTTCTGACAACAATCAATACGAAACTAACGATTTTAAATTGGCTCACTTCTTGACTAGCCTATTGGTCGACTAACGTACCCCATTCTAGTATAAATTCCAGTACTACACTATGTTTGTTTTGATTCGCTATGAAAGTTTGACAGATAAAATGAGGGGTTAGTTAGTTTTCCTATGTTTCGAGGGCTGAATCGATTAGCTTGGGACCGAAGATAGTACCAGAGCTGAACCAAAAAGTTAAGCTCGTTTCTTCGGGACCTTCTGGTCTTAGAGTTACCTCTATGATTCTGATTTGCGGTAAAAAGCATATCTGAGTAAATGTTACTCAGTTCTTATAAAATTGAGCGTTGTTCGAAATGAGTAATTAATTCATTTTATATTGATAAAATATGAAAAATTAAATCGATAGAACAAACAATTTTATTAAAATATAAAAGAGGAGACGTACACGGATAGAAATCCCCTTATACCTTTTGGCAAATTTCTATGTATGATTATTCATAAAATGTATAAGTCAACTAATAAGCAGACGCCTTGCAAAAAGTTAATGAAGATCATGTGTCAAATGAAATGTATAAATGGTCACACATACCGTTTATGCATTTTTATAGGATCTATGTGGTTTGTCTTATGGAAGATATAAGGCTGATGTTTTGGCAAAAATGTATAAGTGAAACACATGAATAAAATAATTAATTTTCGTTTCGTGTATATTAAAAAAAAAACAATGTTTTCGGTGTCTTATGTGGCTCCTCTAAATGCACCAGCCTCGTCGGACCGACGCTCTTCAGCTATGTCAAAAAATGTTGCATGGCATTATCATGGCAATATGAGTGAGCACAGGAATCCCAATGCTCTTCAGAAAACGCTGATGTTACATCTGCATTTCTATGCTGTCCACTACGTCCGATGCAACATCCCACATCAACATTTCCTAGATAGTCCTATTGTTTTTTTGATAGGATTTATTTTCAAATACTTCATTTTTCTTCCCTTTCCAATTTACGAAACGAATCCTTATCTACCTCTGCAGCCACTTGATTCAGTGCGAGTGACGAAATTTCATGCATATTAAGTCGGAATAAGTTTTTAAGTTTAAATTGTTTATTTTTCGATATAACTTTTCAACGCCTTAAACTTGTTGGACTTGAAGTTTTTCTGCTGCCATATTGGTTGGGTTCATCTGGGATTCCTTCGTGTGTACTCGTTTGTGTCGTACCAAATGGTATTTTTGAGCAAAATGCGCTTGACACATATCACAGGAGAATGATTTTTTATCGCTGTGAGTTAGCTTATGCCGTATTAAATGGCCGATTGTGATAAACGATTTACTGCAGTCCTTACACTTGTACGGTCTCTCCTTTGTGTGACTTCTAATGTGAATCATCAATTCGGCCGAACTCGTGAATCCTTTGTTACAATGACTGCAAACATATGGTTTCTCTTTGGTGTGCTTCCGAATGTGTTTTGTTAGATTGTACTTCTGGTGGAATGATTTGGGACAGTATTCGCACTGGTAGCGTTTTGTTTCATTGTGAATAGTCTGATGTAGATTCAATTTATGTACAAACTTGTTGCAGATTGTACATTGCTTTTTACCCTTTTCGTATTCCTCAGTATGGACTCGTTTGTGGTACACTAAATGAGAAGATTGAGAATACTTCGCTGGACACATGTCGCATATGTATGGTTTTAAGCCGCTGTGAGTAAGCGTATGCCGGTTCAGACTGCTGTGTGTGATGAATGATTTATCACAGTCCTTACACTTGTGCGGTCTTTCCTGTGTGTGGCTTCGTATGTGAATTGTTAATCCTTTCGCTCTCGTGAATTCCTTATCACAAAAACTGCATATAAATTGTTTCTTTTTCTTGTTTCCCTTTTTCAAGAGAGACTCATTATTTTCGAGTTTGTGAACCGGTTCTGTTTCACGACTTAACTTTGCTCTTATTTTGTCATTACTGTTTCCGTCCGAATTGAGTGCTGCTTCTGTTTTTATATCCGGATACTCTATTGTAATTTCAGCAGTTTCTGTCTGTGAAATTGCGGTGTCCAAAATGTCATTGTCGTTCTCGCTGTAATCAATTTTAACTTCCCTTACTTCTGGCATATTATTTGAAACAGTGGTATGGTCTTTCCTTGGATCATCCTGTGTAAACATCTCTTTGAATACACGATCATTGGTGAAACACATTTCACGAAACGATTCATAATGTTGTAATGTATTTTCACATTCTAAGCATAACGAAGCTGGCGCGTTTGGAACATTTATAATCTGAAAGGTATTGCATTAGGTTATATTGTTTCCCTCAATTCAACATCCACCAACAAACCTTCAAAGTTGTGAGATTCTCAATCCATTCATTCAGCGATGAATGATCGTCCACGAAAATCAACTGATAGTGTTCACGTTCCGCAAAGCACAAGCGGCAAATCAATTCAGTTGATCTTTCCTTCTTTATTTCACTGGTCTCCATAGTAGAAACAATGTTGTTTCTATGTTCAGAAAGAATACTACCCGGTTTTGGAAAGTACTTTTCTTTCCTTCGATTACTTTTCAATCGAAAATGACAAAAAAATCTACCGAGTTTTTTATCAAAATACAAACCCAAATAGCAAAACAATAATGAAAAGAGAAACTTCTAATGTCACATTGGTGTACTAAAATGTGTTGATTGTTTTTGTTTTGTATGAAACTTGGTACTAATTATAGAGATTGCTGACGTTTATCGTACGCACACTACGTCACGTATACGTATAAGCAAAATGTTTTCACCGGGAAAAAAAAAACTTCATAGCGCAAAATTTTCCCGATGAAAACAAATTACTGACACAATCATACCATAGAGGTAACTCTAAGACTAGAAGGTCCCGAAATAACGTACTCAACTTTTTGGCTCAGCTCTGGTACTCTCTTCGGTCCCAAGCTAATCGATTCACCCCTCGAAACATAGGAAAAACGAATAACCCCTCATTTCATCTGTCAAACCTTCATAGCGAATCAAAACAAACATTGCGTAGTACTAGAATTTCGACTAGAATGGGATACGTTAATCGTTTGCTTGGGACCAATAGGCTAGTCAAGTAGTGAGCCAATTTAAAATCGTTAGTTTCTTATTGATTGTTGATCATACTTCCGTTAATATAAGGCTGAAAAAAAAAACAAACCGCTGTTAAGTCGAACGACAGCTGTTTTCTTGGTTGAAAAAATAATAGACAAATCGATTTTACTCGGCTTCACTAGCAAGATTGTATTAGTGACAACCTGGGTATTGCGAACTCTGTCGGTTTAATTTTTCAAGTGAGCAAGAAAACATCTTGAAAATATTTCAAAACTTCAAATTGTTTTGCTGAAACAGCTCACGAAATCGTAAATACATGCTATCAAATGAACTACTCTTAGCTCCTCCTTCTCTGCTCCACAAATAACGTATACATGGTGTTGGGAGTGCACCTGCCCACGAAGCTCACATTCACATTACTCTTATAAAGTTTGATTAAATTCTTGTTTCAGCCATTCGTAGCCCAGTTTTGGCATTATTATTAATATTAAATAAAAACACTTATTCGAGCATCACGTTCGATGATTTACATTTTCCGCCTACTAAGGTTGATGGTTCGACAGTTTCATAATTATAATTCTTAATTTGTTTTCAGTAGGTGGCAATACCTTTACTTGTGGTTCAAACAGTAACTACCTACATGACTTTCTGAGCTCAGTTCGTTTGGCTACATTATACTTTGCCTCCGCTTATCTATGGAATCTATAGTATCTATAGTTCACAGTACTCAGGTGACAACTTGCGGTGAGAAGTCAATGCATATAAATTAGGAGCGCGTGGAATCACTAAAAACACTGCCGTGGAAATCTTCATAACACATGATCTGTTAAAAAATAACAAGCCATAAGCAATCAACGTGGAATCAATATATGCGTTGGAGACGTTAGTAATTTGCACTTGACATATTCTAGCAAAATAAACTTTCAATATTTCGGTAGGCCGGTTAGAAACTTTTGAAATCGTGTGTGATAAATAGTGACACTTCATCCCTTCATCTTTCTTTCAAATATGTATAGACAATGCATATTTATATTGGATAAAGGTAGCCCATTGGATTGTTGACAGAAGACTAAGTATATATGTACCAATACAGCTACAGCTTGACAGCTGCGTAAGAGCTTATTCAAGCAAAAATATGCTTCATCCGTTAAAAAAATGGCTTGTTTAGCTCTTAATCAGCTCAAATTGTTTGCTGGGTAGTCAGTTATTGCATGTTTGGATCTAAATCACTACTAAGTAGCTTTATTGGGATAAACTTAACATTAGGGGATCACATTGCATCCGTTAGTGTCAAAGCCAGTCAAATTTATTGTCTATCAGATTAGCCGCAACGGATCATCAACGAATGCAATGTGCTTGGACCTTTATTGTCAGAATTGCCTCAATCTGAATGCATTGTGTGTGGCTCTTTAGCAAAACTTTGTCCGTTCACATATACACACTTAATCTAGCTTGGTAAAATCTCTAACAGCCGATTACCTCGGCATTTACTTTTGCTGATATCTCTGCAAAATATCTGTTTGTTAGCTGATATCTCAGCCAAATGTTATTTATCAGCTGAGTCTCGGCAATTGTTTTACTGAATTTCAGCAAAATAAATTATAGAACTACTCGGCTGTTGGAATCTCGGCGAAAATAATTAAGTGTGTACTGAATCTTGAAAAGATTAGCTCTTTTAGATATTTTTAACTTGCTACACATTTAAATTTTTTCACCGAGATTTCTACAGCCGAGGCATCAATTTTGACGCAATAAATTGCAATTTGTAAAGCAAGTAGCTTAGCATAAAAATCTAGAATTCAAACAACAAACAGTTTTGTTCAAAAACCAGTCGACCGAAAAAATAGCATAACCAATTGGAGCAAAGCGTTGATATTTTTTCTCCAATGATGTTTAAATATATATTTATTTTCTATGAATTCAACTTAAATGGCTGTAGAACATGCAATTACCTAATTAATAAGTAGGAGAAAAACTAGTGTAGTTTTTTTTTTTATAAAATATGACTTTTCAACAATTAACTATCTTTAGCATTCAGGTAGTCTGTTGTCATGAACCGCTCCTCACAAACGGATTAACAGACCGGATGACCCTTTGAATGGAGGAAATTTCTCTTGACACACCACGCATGAGTATGCTTCCAACTCGCTGTGAGATCGCGCATGCAAATTCCAAACATCCTATTTATCACGATTTGACTCTGTTTCTTCTGTAAAAATTGTAGTGCCCGTACGGATTTCCTTCGAGTGGACTAGTTTGTGGCGCATCAGATGGGAACTGTGTGAAAATCTGGCTTTACACAAATCGCATGTGTATGGTTTACAACCGTTCGGAGATCGCGCATGCCGCACCAAATTACTAAGTGTGCTGAATGATTTGTCACAATCATTACACATATATGGCCTTTCCTGCGTGTGACTTCGTATGTGAACTTTAAGCTGGTTCGAACGTCTGAATCCTTTATTACACCAACTGCAAATATGTGGTTTCTCTTTGTTGTCCATCTGGATTTGTCTGTTTAGACTATTTAAAAATGTATTGCATTCCTCAGCTATTGGTTCCATATGACATTCATTCGTTTTTAAAGTCTGATCTTCCTCTGCACCATTACTTGACTCATCATTTTCCTCTGAATTGACTATACTGGTGGCTGCGATTTTTAAATCAGGGCACTCTAATTTAATTTCAAAATTTTCATCAATTGTTAAGTTCAAAACATCTGCTTTCTGGCCCTCACTTAGTTCCATTTTTATTTCGTTTGTTGCTGGAAAAAAATTCGAAACAACCTTACGATCATTCCCTCGGTTATCCTGAGTAAACACCTCTGTGAATACTCGATCGTTGGTGAAACACATCTCTCGAAAAGATTCAAAGTTGTGTAATGTGTTTTCGCACTCCAAGCATAACGAACCTGGCGCGTTTGGAACTTTCATGATCTGCAAGGAATCGCGAAGGGTTATAAGATGCTTTGCTTCGGTATAACAGCCACCAACAAACCTTCAAAGATGTGAGATTCTCAATCCATGCATGCAGCGAGGAATATTCGTCTACAAAAATCAACCGATAATTTTCACGTTCCGTAAAGCACAGGCGGCAAATTGATTCAGCTGATGTTTCCTTCTTTATTTCACAAGCTTCCGCTGCCATTTTAGTCACAAATATTTGTTTATATTTAGGAATAATACACAAGTTTATGCATTGATCATGGTTTAGGTAAAGAATTATTCTAAGGAAACTTTTTGTTTTCAAAACAGTCATCAGAGGAAAACACAACTAAACGATAAACGTCATCTTTTAGAACAACGCGATGGTAGTGCATACTATGTAAGAGGATGGTACAACAACATAGACGAGTGCACGGATGGATTTGAGTTCACTCACTCGACAAAAAGTAACACAACAGCGGGGTTTACATCTCACTGCAATCTGAAAAATTTTCCAGAAAATCTACCCAAGAAAAAATCGACTAAGTCCACGTAAACAGTACCACTGAACTGTCATCAGATTGAGGTTAACCCCGACGGTGCAAAACCTAATTAGGTTTTGCACCGTCGGGGTTAACCTCAATCTGATGACAGTTCAGTGGTACTGTTTACGTGGACTTAGTCGTTTTTTTCTTGGGTAGATTTTCTCGATAATTTTTCAGACTGCAGTGAGATATAAACCACACTTCTGCATTGTCCACGAGCAACATCCTTTCACCGCGCTGTTCCTCGACAATTTTCAAGTTAAAATTAGGAAATTTTAGAATTTTTTTTTCGAAAAAACGACTAAGTGCTTGTAAACAGTACCACTGAACTGTCAAAAAGGTTCAGCCTATTAACACTGAGTTCATTTGTGACGTCACGCTGCAGAACCTAATAGGATGCTGCACACTGACGTCACGAATGAACGCGATGAACCCGAATTCATCAGTTTGACATCCAGTGGTGGTTTGTTTACCTTTGCTTGTTAGTCAATTCAAGTGAATTTGAGGTTTTAAATAAAAAGAATTAAAAGATATGATATCCGACTATGTTCATTTGAAAAATATTCCTCTCCAATAAATCTAAAAAAAAATTAATAAATTTTTTAAACTTTTTTTTCTAAGTCCATGTAAACAAACCACTGCCAGATGTCAAAAAAGTTAGATTACCTCGACGGTGCAGCTCCCTATAAGGCATACACTGAGGCAAATAAACTTAAAAATTTCATAAGGATCTGCTTATGAACGACAAATATGAATTTCATAAGCGTGAATGATTTTCGTCTTACATGAAGTAGCTCTTTGTATACGCCTTTAACCATTTCATTTTCCCAAGTGTCAAGAGACGATTGGTAACACATAGAGGTAACTCAAGAAGGTCCCGAAGAAACGTGCTCAACTTTTTGGCTCAGCTCTGGTACTCTCTTCGGTCGCAAGCTAATCGATGCACCCCTCGAAGCATAGAAAAATCCACGAACCCCTCATTTTATCTGTCAAACTTTGATAGAGAATCAAAACAAACATACTACACAGAAAAACAAAACTACCCACCGCTTGGGTTTTTTAAACTCAAATTTGAGTTATTTGACCTCTGCCCGTTTCATTTCCTCTCGCTATTGTTGTCAAAAATAGAACGAAAGATTCGACTCAACCGTCTAGTTCCGTACGAGAAGCCAAAATTGAGTAATTTGCGATATACCCAAATTTGAGTTAATTGAACTTAATTTTGGGTAGAAAAAATTGAAAATAACTTAGCGATGGGTAATTTTTTTTGCCGTCCTTAAATGCAAACTACTTTGAGCCGGTTTACCCAAATTTGGCTTATCGTACGGAACATGGGAGATGAGTGAAAAGAACTTAATTTTGGGTTGTTTTGAATTTCTGTGTATAGTACTAGAATTTCAACTAGAATGGGGTACGTTAATCGTTTGCTTGGGACCAATAGGGTTAAGTAGTGAGCCAATTTAAAATCGTTAGTTTCCACCGGTTGGGTGTACTTTGTATGTCTGTACAAATCTAATGCACCATAGGGTTGATGCATATATTATGTCACGCTCTAAGGGGGGAGGGGGAGGGTCTAAGATTTTGTGACAAGCAATGCATTTGGTATAGGAAAAACGTCACGATAGGGGGGGAGGGGTAATCTTTTGCTCGATTTAGCGTGACATAATTAATGCATGGGCCCATACAAAACAATACAATCTATTGGTACAATCCAATAAAATCTATTATTTAGCTATCGAAATAGCTACCATTAATTGTTTTATCAAGAACAATAAAAATACAGTAGAACTTATTGATTAACACAGGAGAATTTATAGTTAATGGGACTTTGCTAAGGGTTGTTAAGTATCTTGATCATAGAAAAATCCTGAATGAGGTCCTTTCGTCGGTACAATACAATTATAATAGGGTCTGAAGGTATTATATTTGATTGATATTTTATTGAAATTTTATGGTTATTTTCAATTTAAAAGATAGTTTTTGGTGAAGAAAAAAATAAACGTCTTGTTTTGCAGTTGAAGTTTTGTAATTAGAGTGAACTGGCTTTCTTCATCTTTTGATCACATAATAATTAAAACGTTAAATACCAGCTAAATATCGTTAGCTGGTATCGTTAGCTGGTAAAGTTAAATATCGAATGGAGTCGTGTGTGACGTATTAAATGAGTAGAATGATGTGAGATCGCGCATGCCGCAGCTCACTCTTTTAGATTTTTTGGTCTTCCTTTGCATCACGATTTGACACACTTGCTTCTGCTGTCATTGTAGTGCTCTTATGGTGGACTTGTTTGTGACGTGACAAATGGGAATTTTGAGAAAATTTGGCTTGACAAATATCACATGAGTATGGTTTTAAACCGCTGTGAGTTTTATTATGTCGCATCAAATGGCTGATTGAGATGAATGATTTCTTGCATTCTTTACACTTGAATGGTCTCTCCTGCGTGTGACTTCTAATGTGAACTTTCAAATCACCCGAATTCCTAAAACTCTTGTCACACTGAATGCAAACATATGGTTTCTCCTTGGTGTGCGTCCGAGTGTGCATTGTTAGTTTATTTATTTGATTGAATCCTTTGGGACAGTATTTGCACTGGTAAGGACTTATTTCCTTGTGTATAAGCTGATGATCAGTCAATTTTAGTACAAATTTGTTGCAGATTGTACAATGTTGTTTGCTTTTATCATTTGCTTTCATTAGTTCCAAGAGAGAATTATTTTTTTCGGATTCCTCTGTATCACGACCTGACTCATTTTCTTCAGTGCCATTTTTGGTGTTCATCAGGTCCTTTCTCAAGTGGGCTCGTTTGTGGCGTACCAAATGGGAAGATTGAGAATATTTCGATTCACACCTATCGCATGAGTATGGTTTTAAACCGCTGTGAGCTCGCATATGCCGCTTCAAATTGCTGGGTGTGATGAATGATTTACCACAGTCTTTACACTTGTGTGGTCTCTCCTGTGTGTGGCTTCGTATGTGAATTTTCAACCGGTTTGAATTTGTGAATCCCTTACCACACAAACTGCAAATATGTGTTTTCTTTTCTATGGTTACTGTTTTCACGTGAGACTCACTCTTTGCGAGTTCCAAAACCTCCTTTGTATCGATAATTGACTCGTTTACGTCCTTTTCGTAATAATTTTCCTCTGAATTGGTTGAACTGGACACTTCGATTTTTATATTCTGGTACTCGATTGTAATTTCAGTATTGTCTACCTGTGAATCAATTGTTGGGCTCAACATGTAATTTTGCTGGTCCTGGCGTTGATCACTTGTAATTTCGTATATTACTGGCATAGCTTCCGAAAGATCCGCATGTTCATTGCTTGAGTCATCGTGGGTAAACATCTCTTTGATTACACGATCATTGGTGAAGCACATTTCTCGAAATGATTCAAAATTTTGTAATGTTTTTTCACATTCCAAGCATAGCGAAGCCGGCGCACTTGGAACTCTCATGATCTGAAAAGAATTGAATTGGGTTAAAACGTTTCAACTACCGTTTAACATCCTCCAACAAACCTTCAAAGATGTGAGATTCTCAATCCATTCATGAAGCGAAGAATACTCGTCGTCGAAAATCAACCGATAACTTTCACCCTCCGTAAAGCACAGGCGGCAAATCGAGTCAGGCGATTTTTCCTTTTTTATTTCCCAAGCTGCTACAGCCATTTTGGTCACACAAGTTGTTTGAACGTGGGAATAATCCTAACAAAATCGTTACTTAGGTAAATTTTAAAGGAAGTATAAAATCAAAACAGTTGTCAGAGGAAAACACGTATAGGAAAACTAAAGAGGCATCAGGCTCTTTAAGGAAAATGATAAATGTCAAATTTTAGAACAACATGTGTTGATGTTTGTGTTAAGGTAAAAGGATGGTTCCAACGAAAGTATTTTAAAGCACAGGTATAATTGGCGTTGACGGCACTGTCGAAAAATTTGCTCTTCCAGCAAATGTAGACGTTTGCTTATGGATTTTCTCATAGGAGTAAAGAGCTACAGAGTCGCCGTCAACGCCAATATTCGCTACAATGTTAACGTTGTGGTACACTGAAAAAAGTTTTCATATAGTTTCCATTGGGAACGCACATGATATTTTTCAAATAACAAAATTAATGATTTTTACCTGAAATTCACATAACATTCATATGATCACATGAATTCTACGTGTTAAATCACATAAACTTCATTGGACACATAAGGTTCATGTGATTTCGTGGTGTGATTCCCAATTATGAGATCACATGAAAGTTATGTGAAATTCTAATGGATATTTTCCATCGGAAATGTGATTTATTTTTTGAGTTTACTAAAAAGCATAAAGCAGAAAACGGTTATGAAGATTTCACCGAAATGTATGTTAAATAATTCGTCAAAATTAAGTTATTTGCAAAAGTTTTTAGATGTACATCCCTTTTAATTAGCTGGAAACCAGTAAAATTTTGCTGGATTTTGCCGAGTTGGAAATCCAGAATTCTATCCAGCAAAATATTTTTGCAGAACAGCCAGAAAATTGATCTAGAGCGAATTTGACAGCACTTAACAGAAAAACCTGGATAATGTACTGATTATCCAGTAAAATGAAATGGCAATAGTTTTGCTGGAAAAACAGTAATTTTCGTTTGTTTTGTTTTAAAGAAATTTAAAATTACATTTTCGTATTAGAATTCCCTTATAATACAACATGATAACATCGCAAACGAAGTGACAGACGACTAATTGGCGAAGAAATCAATTAAAATAATGTGGTTCGCTGTAATAGAATTTTCTTAGAAGCCAGTCCCGAAGAAACGTGCTCAACTTTTTGGCTCAGCTCTGGTACTCTGGAAACTAACGATTTTAAAATGGATCATTACTTGATTAGCCTATTGGTCCCAAGCAAATCGATTAACGTACCCCATTATAGTCAAAATTCTAATACTACACTATGTTTGTTTTGATTCGTAATAAAAGTTTTACATATAAAATGAGGGGTTCGTGGATTTTCCAATGTTTCGAGGGGTGCATCAATTAGCTTGGGACCGAAGAGAGTACTAAAGCTGAGCCAAAAAGTTGAGCACGTTTCTTCGGGAGTTACCTCTATGGAAATACCCTTTCGTGCGACGATTGATAACCTCAATCACATAACAATTAAAACGTTTAAAGATTGTTTCAGTTAAAATCTCCTGTTTGTTGTTGTAAATGTCATCTTATACTGATTCGAAGACCAAATGGTAGCCAGTTAAATTTATTTGGTATATTTGTTTTCCCACAGTTTTTTCAACAACTTACACTTGTGAACCTTCATGTAGTCCGTTCTAATAAACCGCTCTAACAGATCATCATTTTCTATGGAGTCTTCTTATGATGTTTCTTCAAGTGGACTTGTTTGTGGCGTAACAAATGGGTATTTTGAGAAAATTTTGCTTCACATATATCGCACGAGTAACGTTTTAAACCACTGTGAGTTTGCGCATGCCGCAGCAAGTGACCGGAAGTGATAAACGATTTATTACAGTTTTTACACTTGAATGGTCTCTCCTGCGTGTGACTTCTAATGTGAATTTTCAAATCGGCCGGATTCGTGAATCTTTTGTCACACTGACTGCAAACATGTGGTTTCTCGTTGGTGTGCGTCCGAATGTGTGTTGTTAGTTTGTATCTTTGGTTGAATCCTTTGGGGCAATATTCGCACTGGTAGGGTCTTGTTTCCCAATGTATGACCTGATGATCAGCCAATTTAAGTACAAATTTGTTGCAGACTTTACAACGTTTTTTAATTTTGCCATTCGCGTTCATTGGTTCCAAGAGAGAAACAGTCTTTTCCATATTCTTAACTTCCTCTTCCTCTTCAATTTCTTCCTCTTCCTCTGCAATATTTTTGGTGCTTATGAGGTCTTCCTTCAAGTGGACTCGGTTGTGGCGTATCAAACTAGAAGCTTGTGAAAATTTCCCTTGACACCTATCGCATGAGTAGGGTTTTAAGCCGCTGTGAGTTCTCATGTGTACCTTTAAACTGCTGGGTGTGATGAATGATTTGCCACAATCTTTACACCTGTGCGGCCTCTCCTGTGTGTGACTTAGTACGTGAATTTTCAAACGGGTTGCATTTTTGAATCCCTTATCACACAACCTGCAAATATGTCGTTTCTTTTTTTTTGATACTGTTTCCACGCGGGACTCACTCTTTTCGAGATTCAGAAGTTCCCCTGTATCGGAAATTAACTTATTTTCTTTCTCTTTGTCATCATCAATATCGTTTGAATCGAGTGTAGTGATATTTTCGATTTTTATATCTGAGTACTCGATTGTAATGTCAGTATTGTCTACCTGGGAGCCAATCGCTATTGCTGACATATTATCCAAAATAGCTTTATGACAATTTCTTGAGTCATCATGAGGGAACATCTCTTTGATTACACGATCATTGGTGAAGCACATTTCTCGAAAAGATTCAAAGCTTTGTAATGTGTTTTCACATTCCAAGCATAGCGCAGCAGGTGCATTTGGAACTTGAATAATCTGTGAAGTATTTCATCGGGTTATAACATGTTTTGCAGCTATCCTACATCCACCAACAAACCTTCAAATTTGTGATATTCTCGATTCGTTCAGCCAGCATAGAGTATTTGTTTTCGAAAATCAACAGGTAATTGTCACGCTCCGTAAAACACAGGCGGCAAATCGATTCAGCCGATTTTTCCTTCTTTATATCACAAGCTGCTGTAGCCATTTTAGCAACAATGCTTTGTTTAAACTTGGAAAGAATAATTCACAACATTTTTCGGTGCTTTTGTAAATTCTTAGGATGATATGATATATCAACACAATAATCGGAAGAAAACACAGCAAAACTATAAACGTCAAATTTTAGTACAACTTATCACGGAGAATCGAAAGAACTCAAAATTAAGTCTTTTGTACTCATCTTGACAGCTAAGCACCGACAAACCGACATGACGCTTAATTCTGACTTATGCCCGAAAATCGTAAACGGCCGATTCAAATGTGCAGTGATCCACTGTCAAAGCCATAGGATTTTTTGATCAAGATAAAAATAATTTGTCATTGAACCAATTCATAACTTTTGCATGCGGGTTCATGGCTTAGCTAAATATTTCCCGCGAACACGGAGCCAGATGTCAATGGTGTGCTTTGACCAGACATTTTATTGTTTTTGGTATAGTCATTCATGTCGGTTTGTAGGTGTTGTAGTGGTAAGCGTGACTGCTTTCTCACCCCAATGGGTCTGGGTTCAATCCCAGCCGAGGTCGGTGGGATTTTTCTGAGGCATAAAAATCTCTGGTCACGTCTTCCTTCGGAAGAGAAGTAAAGCCGTTGGTCCCGGCCCTTGTGTGATGTGAAGGGGTGCGACATCCTACGCAGGTGTGGAAGCTGCCTTCCTGCACATTTGATTGTCGTCTGCTTCAACTCTCTCTGTACCATGGTGGGTATATAAATGGTGATACAGCTTTGTCACTACACACAAAAAACAAAAATTGTATCAATAAAAATAATGCGTTTTCAAATTGAAAGTTTCTTAAAATACGTAGTTTGCCGCCTTTTTCGGTAGTGAAATTTTCACTTAAGGAAGTCAGCCGTCTACTGCAGAAAGTTGTGTCAAAAAAACATAAAAGCCGTCAAAAGTAATTTAAAATCTGTTGGAATCATTGCTGGTTTTAGGAATTTTAGTATTAGAAAATTATTTTCCTCAGAAGCAATCGTTTACCGATGTGGCAGGACACTTGTGGTTACGGTTTTCGAGCGGTATCACCGCCAAAGTCATTTGCATCGTGGAGGATTTGGAAACGCTGCGGCAGTCCTCCAAATAGGTAAATGGCTCGGATATTTAATGGCGAGTTTAATGGTTGGTGTAACTTTTTTTTATTCCAAAATAGGACAAAACTACGATCTACAAATTGCATCTTCCGTAACGTTCCTGTAAAACTGATGGAATGTACTTGCCGTATCATTCGAAACGATGGATCTCCTGTAGCTGTTCCGATGAAAAAAAATGAGAAAGTTATCTAGTTGTCATTTATTGGACCATTACTCGAGGGTCAAATTTCTGTAGCAGAACACAGGATTCTGGCGAACCCTATATCCTACCTTGGAAAGGTTTGGGAGTGCATAATGAAGGCTCCATTTCTCAAACTATCACCCTAATCACCGCCTTCATGTCGATCGTCGTCATCTTACGACTCGGCAACAATCTGAGGTGATTACATAGAATGTTTGTTTTTTTATTGTTAATGGAAATGGGAAATACATAACTATTGAAAATGATAAAAATACAAGCTGGAATCTAGGTTTAGAAAATTTCTTTTCAATTTGGAGAACTATTAATTTGAAAATAATTTCAATTTGAGGTTAAACAATTATATTCTTGCTTTGAAAACAGCATCTTTTAATGTGAAACAATCCATACTTTATTTGAAAAACCTTGTTTTTTATTTTGACATTTCTACAATTTGATTTAAATGTTGCAACTTTTAAAATTAATAAGAAGGGAATCTTTTGATTTGAAAGGCTACACATTGTTATATTGAAAGCTCTGGACTTTCTATCAAAAAGAACCAATGGAAACTTTTTATTCTACCAATGGATTTTTTAATTCTATCAACGATTATTTTTTGTGTGTATATAGGCGAGGAGGTCGCGGAGGGGAAAAGTGCGGTTTAGAGCATATTGTAAACAAACTCGGTCGCTGTCCCATACAAAAATCCAACATGGCTGAATCATGAATTTGACACATTAGAACACCTATATGTAGTCACCTTGCTCTGTACCTTATTGATTGGCACTAGATTGCGGAACAGAGACCGGACGTGAAATAAAGGAAGGAAGAAGAAGATCGAGAACACCCTACACGCTAACTCTAAAGTACCCTTTAAATAAGTATCATGTACTCATTTTTTAAAGTTATTCAAAAACGCCAAAAAATGGGTATTTTCAAAAAACTACAAGCGGGTTCTTTTTCCCCAGTTTTTTTAATATCTCCTGCAATTAAAATGGGTAAAAATATGCATTAAATTAAGGTCAACACATCTTTGGTGAAGTGGAAGAGTCGGTGGTGGAAGCGCAGAGTGATTAATAATTTTTAACAAGCGAGTGTAACAAGCATTCGCGAATTTTGCGTGCCTCGATTACGTGACGGTGATACGATGGAGCTAGCATTTTTGATCCGGCCGGTGTTGATTGAGGTGAACAAGTTTATGTTAAAACAATCCTGCGACTAGAAGTTACATTGTTTCCTTCACTTTCAGAGAAAAGAAGAGTCAAACAGAAAATTTGAAGAACATCACAGCGTTCCTGGACATGACCTGGTACTGATTTTTATGAGGTAATAATACTGTATGTGTTCTAAAAATGTATTCCGTTTCAGGTTAGCAAAGATCTTGAAGAAGAAGGGAAATTTACATGCTGAAGGGTCCGAACCTGTTCTATGAGCAGCAACCCTCATTGACCGATCCCGGGTGGATTATTAATTGTTTGTATAAAATAAAGTGTATGAAGTTTTCTTTTAAATAATTCAGAAAATAGATACGAGAAAAGCATGAAGAATGAAAAATACACATTTTTAGACGTATATTGGAGTTGGAGTTAGCGTGCAAAGTACCCATTAATGAGTAAAATTTTACCCATTTTGTAGAAAAGTGGCTTAACTCATAAAATGAGTAAAACCGATTTTACTCATTAATGAGTATTCAACGAATACGTCAAAAAATGTGTATTTTTCATTCTTCATGCTTTTCTCGCACATGAGTAAAACACTTACACTTTATTTTATACAAATAATTAATAATCCACCCGGGATCGGTCAATGAGGGTTGCTGCTCATAGAATAGGTTCGGACCCTTCAGCATGAAAATTTCACTTCTTCTTCATAAAGATCTTTGCTAACCTGAAACGGAACACATTTTTAGAACACATACAGTATTATTACCTCATAAAATCAGTACCAGGTCATGTCCAGGAACGCTGTGATGTTCTTCAAAATTTCTGTTTGACTTTTCTTTTCTCTGAAAGTGAAGAAAACAATGTAACTTCTAGTCGCAGGATTGTTTTAAAATAAACTTGTTCACCTCAATCAACACCGGCCGGATCAAAAATGCTAGCTCCAACTATCACCTTTCCGAAAGTGGTATTGGTATGCGTGGGCGTACTTTGGTTCGCGTGTAAAGGGCTTTAGAAAGTTTGTTTACAAATGCTTTTGTGCCGTTATCAAATGTTATGCCTGATTTTTTGGCGTTTTTGAATAACGTTAAAAAATGAGTACATGATACTAATTTAAAGGGTACTTTAGAGTTAGCGTGTACAGGGCCGTTCATTCTCACTAGAGATAGATAGAGTAACTTCTACACAGATGAAAATAGAAATTTCTTAAACTATAACGTTACTCAGCGCTGATTATCACATTTATTTCTTTAAATTTAGTTCACATTATAAATGTATTGAAAGACAAACTAGACAAACCGGTGCGGGGTGGTCAGTTATGTTATTTATTTCCTTACATGATTTTTCAACAGCTTACACCTGTGAGCCTTCAGATATTCAGTCCTCATAAACCGTTCATCACATACGGAACAGCTGTAAGGATATTCCATCGAGTGAAGCCGTTTGTGGCGTACCAAATGGCTAGATGTTGAAAATTTTGCTTGGCACACATCGCATGAGTATGGTTTTAAACCGCTGTGAGATCGCGCATGCCGCACCAAATGGCCGGATGTGACGAACGATTTACCGCAGTCTTTACATTTGAATGGTTTCTCTTGTGTGTGGCTTCTAGTGTGTACTTTCAACTCGGTCGAATTCGTAAATCCTTTGTCGCACCAACTGCAGAGATACGGTTTCTCTTTGGTGTGCATTCGTATGTGTTTTTTGAGGTTGCACATCTGGTTGAATCCTTTGGAACAATATTCGCATTGAAAGGGCCTTATTTCGTTGTGTATCAACTGATGTTGAGTCAATCGGTTTACAAATTTGTTGCAGATTGTACATAATTTTTTGCTAATACCGTCAGCAGCTACTGGTTCCAACTGAGACATACATTTTTTGGGTTTCCGAACTTTATTTGTGCCATCACGATTTGACTCGGTTGCTGTATCCAAATTATATACTTCATATTCATCCGGCTCGTCAGTTTGAGCGTCATGTTCTACTATATCTATTGCAATATTGTGATTTTCGTAACGTAGAATTTGTTCCTGATTTCCCTCATGAATATCTTCAATTTCTTTTTCCAAGCATTCCTTTTCGCGAGTTTGTGCTTCGTTTTCTTCTGGGTTGTCCAATATTTCAACGATCTCTTTTTGAAGAAATAGTTCGACGAACAATTTATCGTTAGACAGACAGGTTGCTCGGAATGATTCGAAATTCTTTAGGATTCCTACACATTCCAAGCATAGTGAGGCTGGTGTGTTGGGGATTTGGACGACCTAAAAGTTGTGTTTTCTTGGTTTATGCATTTGAATGAATATGGGATTAGTATTCAACCATGTAGTTTTTAACAATCAATAATTATGACCCAATTACTTAAGATAGTGATTTTTACGCTTACCTCCAATGACGTGAGATCACGAATCCATTCTACCATTGATGGACTAGTATCCTCAAATATGGGCTGATAGTGTTCACGTTCAGTCAAGCATAATCTACATGTCAGCTCAATTGATCGCTCTTCTTTCATTTCAATTACATCCGTATGCATTTTGAGTGCCGAATTTAGAAATAAAAATATCACTAAGCTTCCGAAGTGCGAAGTGGATGAATTGTAATCCAAACAACAACAGACGAATAGACGCTTTGACGTTGTGCTAAATATATGTTTGACTAAATTAGCACGGTTAGTAGAAGTGGGTGAGAATGGCTCGAAACTGACGGAACCGAAAAATTACCCAAAATTCAGTTCTTTTCACTCATCTCCCATGTTCCGTTCAATAGACCTTTTTGACGTTTAATCGTCTTTCTCTATCTAGCACACAGGCACAGAACAGAAGGGGAAGTGCAAACAAATCGGTGAATCAAAAAGTTGTTCGTTTTCCTGCTCAACAAGCCATGTGTTGTGGTAGCGTTCTACATGGGCTTTCTATGTGCACTCACACTATCATAGCATGCTGCCTATCTTAACTGCAGGCAGAAGATGCCTTCTACCACTAGGTGCGCTAGTGTTCGCAAATGACAAGTGGAGCCACTTTCTGATCCGAAGTTCCACTCCTGTGACACAGGGATGAATAGATAGTTTGTTTTCCCACTAATCTGTTTCCCTCTTGCTGACACTCCTTCAATTTAAATGGTGCATTAGTGTGCGCCGATTAAACGCCACAAAGCTCTATAAGCTTATTTCCAGTAAACCGGTTACTTAGTAGTTTACATTTGACTACGGCAAAAATAATTCCTTACTCGTGAGTATTTTCTACCGAAAATTAAGTTCAATTGACTCAAATTTGAGAATATCAAAAATATACTCACAGATACTCACTAGTAGCAACAGTATAAGCATAGAGGTAACTCTAAGACTAGAAGCTTCCGAAGAAACGTGCTCAACTTTTTGGCTCAGCCTCTGGTACTCTCTTCGGTCCCAAGCTAATCGATGCATCCCTCGAAACAAAGTAAATCCACGAACCCCTCATTTTATCTGTCAAACTTTCATAGCGAATCAAAACAAACATAGTGCAGTACTCGAATTTCGATTAGAATGGGGTACGTTAAACGATTTGCTTGCGACCAATAGGCTAGTCAAGTAGTGAGCCAATTTAAAATCGTTAGTTTCCACCGGTTGGTATAAGTCTATCTTGATGACATTTTTCTTGTCGATAATTATTAAAACATCTTATAACTCTGTAGTCTGGACATGGTATGAACATAGCATTACAGTTTTGCCTTTTGCAAAATCCTGGAATAAAATATAGGCGAATCCAAAACAAACTAAGCGATCGTTTCAGTCCCTGGAGGTTAATAGGGGAACCCTCAAAAGAGTGATGAGGGTGGAAATTTTCACCGTCATAGGAAGAGGACAATATTTTCACCTCTCCTGATTAATTTATCCACTGCAGGTGCTTGAAATCATCATCAAAGTGGAATATTTTGTTTTCTGTATCGGGTTTGCAGTGATTCGGTTGGTGCTTCCATATATTTGTGATGAGAAAAATTAAGATTTATTAAATAGGCCTTTTAAATAGAAGCTAATCGATCGATTCAACCTCTGGTGATGAATAGGAGAAGGTCAAAAAGAGTGTTGTGAGCAGAAATTTTAGCCTTGAGACATAGGAAGCGGGACACTTTTTTTTACTTTTCCTGATAAATTGATTCATCTGAGATGCTCCAAAACTTAATCTACAGTTGAAAAATTTAATTCTGTGACGTTTTTGCAAAGATCCTGCTGGTGTTCAGGAATATTTTTGTTGAGAAAAATGGAAAATTCGAAAAGTGCCTTAGTGGTTATGATCTTCCGGATTTCTTGTTTGTGAATAGTTAGGTACAAATCAGTTCAGATCTGTAGAAAATCGTACAATAAGACAATTACCGATAAAGATTGGCAAGATGTTGAATGAAAAATGCTTTAATTTGCGTTGTGAAAAGTAATATTTTTTTTTAGTTTTGGTTGACGTTTCTCCTCGAACTCGCGTGGAGCACTCTACGTTGGTGGTGCATTAAAAAGGCCTATTGTCCCAGCGGTTATGATCTTCCGGATTTTTAATGTGTGGTTATTTCAGCTGGAAATCAGTTCAGATCTGTAGATAATCGAAAAATACGACCACTCCCGATGGAAATTTGCAAGTTGTGCAATAAAATGTACATTGTTTTGAGTTTTGAAAATCGTCATTATGATGTAAACAAATGGATTGGATGACATTCCCTTTCAAAATCGGCTAGCGCACTCTACATTGATGGTGCATGAAAAGTGCTGATTGGAAATCAAAGTTGGTACTCGTGGAAAATAGAAGAACTATGAAAGTGATGACGGTTTCAAAATTTTACACGGTGAGGTATACGAGTTCAATCTTAAAATGCTTTTATTTTGCAAATGTAGGAATTTTACTCTTGTTCTGTACGTTAGACATTACAATCTATTCAGTAACGCTATAGAGCCATTTGTTACACATTTGGATTTCATGGACTTCAAATGTCAGTGTCAACAACCAATCACATAATTGTCGAATATTCTTCTCTCAAAATCATATTGTCAATCATATTTAAACTGAGTGTCCTGCATACTATTAATCTTTTTTTTATAATTTATTTAAAATGTTTATTATTAAATTACAATAGATAATAATACTGAACATTATTGAAATTGATTTTGTTTGGTCCAGACATGCCTCGTTCTTACTCCCGTTCTCCGTTACGGTCGAGAAATCACGCGAAAGAGACACATATTCCTCCAGCTGCAGTGACTACGACTGGAATCGCCATACGGATGATCGTTCTTCCAAATTCCGTTCGACAACGACATTATGAAAATTTTGACAAAAATTGAACTGCATCTTTCTTCTTCACAAAGATCATCTCCTTCCCTAATAAAAAATGACCATAAACGAACGATAACCCAAATGATTGAACTATTCCAAAAATGGTTTGGATGATACCCCGAACACGTCGTTAAGCAAATTAACCATACAATTTTTATTAGGGTTGTAAATCTTGGATTACATCAGTTCTGAAAAGAAAAAGTTGTTTGGGCGGTATATTTTGAACAAATTACCATCCCGATTTTGTTTGCAGTAAAGTTAATCCAAACTCGGATTCACAATACCTTATCTGCTGCTTAAATCAAGGATGTATCAAGAAAATCAATCATAAATTTCTATTATGAATTACCTGGACAATATCGTGAAGATCACAGCTGCTTCTTCAGCAGGTAATTGAACGATTAAACCTGGGATAATACTGAACGAAATTTAATAGCTCGAATCAAACTTATGCAATTGACAGGTGGCAAACAAAGTTCTGTTGTTTACATTTGCAGAACATGCAAATCATATCGTGCTGAAATGCTAAACACTTAAAATCCTTAAGTTTTGAACAGTAGCGGGATTTAATAAATTGAGCAAATGGATTCAACGTGCAATGCACTTACATTGATATGGTAAGATTTTTCAACATTTCATAGATCAAAACACTTAAAACTTAAGTGTAAAGCACTTCGAATGAATGTTGAAAACACATCAAATTAATTTGAAAGTGCATTTGAAAAATCAAGAGCTGAAACACATGAATCAAGCGTGTAGAATTTTTTGAGTGTAGGTCTAAAGTAACATTTATCGATTCTCTTCATAGACTTTCTCTTTCGTTAATAACTTGGGTATAGAACAGTTTCTTGTCGTAATAGAAGCTTGACAATAGCTTCTTTCATCGAGATGTGTGCTGAAATAGCATGTCTTAACATGACCATGGTGGGTATATAAATTGTGATACAGCTTTGTCACTATATAGGCGAGGAGGTCGCGGGGGGGGGGGGGAAACTGCGGTTTTAGTGCAAATTGTAAACAAACTCGGTCGCGTCCCATACAAAAATCCAACATGGCTGAATCATGAATTTGACACATTAGAACACCTATATGTAGTCACCTTGAACATGACCGTCAAGGCCCAAACGCAATGTGGGCGGAAGCGGAACGGAAACGGAAAGTTTGACAGTTGTCACTAATGACATCAAGATGCCTAACCGAAGTCGATTTGGATCTAACTAGTTTTCAATCCGACAAGTAGGCTTACTCAGATCGGGATTTTCCGCTGCCGTTCCGCTTCCGCCGTCATTGCGCTTGGGCCTTCAGGATGCAACGAGAAAGTCGACGAAGAGAATCTGTCAATGTTACTTAGGACTTAATGAATTCAGTGCCAACATTTCAAAGGGGCGTAATTGCTTTTGTAAACAATGGCTTTAGCCGTCGATTTCTCGCAAATAAAAGCCCACCCTTCCAAATTACCAATGCTAGCTGGTACACGAAACATTTATCTACCTGCTGGTGTCATTCATTTTTATGAGTGAGCTTTCATTCGCGAGAAATCGACGACTAAAACCATTGTTTACAAACGCAATTACGCCCCTTTGAAATGTTGGCACTGAATTGTTCAGCTTAAATTGATCGAGCATTCGACAGTGAGCATGCATAAGGGCCTATACGCGATGATCGATTCTCTTCGTCGATTTTCTCTTTTGTTAATAACTCGCTATATTTAACGTTTCTCGGTGCGTTTGCTGTTACTAGTCTGCATTGAACAAATTCTAGAAAATTGTTTCGCTTAGCTGTAGCAATGCAAAGAGAAAATCGATGAAGAGAATCGATCATCGCGTATAGGCCCTTATGCATGCTCACTGTCGATTTGATATAAAGATATCGACAGTGAGCATGCATAAGGGCGTATACGCGATGATCGATTCTCTTCATCGTTTTTCTCTTTGCATTGCTACAGCTAAGCGAAACAATTTTGTAGAATTTGTTCAATGTAGAGTTGTAATAGGTTGTATTGGCTTTCAAAAGCAACAACAAACGCACCGGCAAACGTTAAATCTAGCGAGTTATTAAGAAAAGAGAAAATCGATGAAGAGAATCGATCATCGCGTATACGCCCTTATGAATGCTCACTGTCGATATTATCTTTTATCACGTAATACCAGATATAGTGTAAACGTATATTGCGCGTTTCACACCAAATTGGACTAATAAGCGCGTTTTCAAGTATTAAAAAGTGTGATAAAACTGCAAGTTTACGTCTAATCGTCTTGGTGTCTTCGGTGCACTTATTCCTTATGATGCAAGCAATAAGAAGACATCAAAACGATTTGACGGAAACGTGCACTTTTATCACACTTTTTGCATGTTTGGGACAGTCCAGTTTCAGATGCAATCAGCAATACAGTATGTTGAACAGCGCATAAACAGATGTAATGTAACTATCGGGAGATTTAACTATGGATATGAAATTAAGGTGATACCATGAACAATCTGAAAATGGCCGTCATTATGGCAGATATGCCTATCATTTTAAGATCTCTAGTCTAGAGCACTAATCTTGGACACTGTTGCGTTCTCGGTCATGAAATTGGAACTCCTTATTTACTACACTATATGTTATATAATAATTATATAAAATTGTTACTATTTATTAAAAACAGCAAAATTTTAACAACTTACTTTTTAAATTATCTTTACAGATTCCGAGAGTGGCGCAAAACTCCCAGTGCAGGTATTTGCGCGAGCCTATATTTACTTTTTGCAGAATCTGGAAGCTCACGATCTGGTAAGAAACGCCTTGATAGTCATCAGTATTAATTACCCACGATAATATTGCATCCTTCGTCAACAGCAATTCAAAATCCACGCACTGCTTCAGCTACGCTACGTTGATTCACGACTGGTCTTCAAAAAGGTCGCACCAAACCGAACTGAACCTATTATGGGAGAGCAATCGCTGAGGGATGTTCTATGGGTGCCACACGTGTTTCTTGCCAACGAACGCAGTTCTGATATTCTGGGAACGGCTGAAAAGGACATTTTGACTTCAGTGTCACCGGACGGCACTGTGATTATTTCAACGAGGATAAGTGCAACGTTGTACTGTTGGATGAATCTGCAAAAGTTTCCATTCGACGAACAGCATTGCTCAACAATTCTGGAAAGCTGTACGTTAATCAACCGATAGGAATACCTAAGTTGAATCGCTTTGATCAATGAACAATTCCGTTTTTTTTTGCAGGGATGTACAACGAAGCTGATCTCACTCTGAAATGGGAAAAGAAATCTCCAGTTACGCTAGCACCGGAACTTCATCTGACTGAATACGTGCTTTTGGACATGTTTACGAACGAAACGATGATTAACGCTGACTTGAGTGATCTCCGTCATGGGGCTTTTGGTGTGTATATCTCATTATAACATTGTAGAACATATCTTTTACAACTGATATATCTTGTAGCTGGTAATTATAGCTCTCTTAGCTTTACCGTACATCTTGCCCGCGAGATGGGTTTCTACCTGATGGATTACTTCATACCCTCAATCATGTTGGTTGCGATCTCATGGGTCACATTTTGGCTACAAGCTGATCAATCGGCACCTCGAATAACTCTTGGAACTAGTACTATGTTAACGTTTATCACGTTGGCCTCTGCGCAGGGTAAAACGCTTCCAAAGGTCAGTTATATCAAAGCTTCGGAAATTTGGTTCCTTGGATGTACTGGCTTCATCTTCGGTAGCTTAGTGGAGTTTGCTTTCGTTAATACGATCTGGCGAAGGAAGAGGAATGTAGAGCTGAAGAAAAAGAATAGCAAGTATATTTTAAGATCCACGCTTACGCCACTCCCGTCTCGCAAAAATGTCAGTGGAGGGCTTCACAAATCTCACTCATGCACCAGCCTGGATGCTCAGTCTACGATAACTGCTTCAAATAATTCTTATAACAACTATCTGACTGTACATGTAAGCTATTGTGTTTGTTTTCTGAACTTTCAAGCAATAACTGTTATTTTTTTCAGTCATTTCCTTCGAAAACCAATTCCTTGCTACCGACCATTACAACTTCCAGTGCAGACTCTGTTGACAACCATAATGGAAATGTATCCATAAGAATTGAAGATACTTCATTACCGAACTCTGATGGCAAAAAGACCAACGAGCTATCGAACGTGAATGGTAATGGATGGACGACGATGACGCCGCAAGAAATTGCTATTTGGATAGATAAACGATCGCGATTTTTATTTCCAGTTTGTTTCTTGGTTTTCAATATATTCTATTGGTCTTTCGTTTACTATCTGTAGCGTGTTAGTTTAACTCTTTGGACAAATATCTATTTATCCTATATTCTCCATGATTCTGTAATGACTGCTGATTAGTTAATGGTTTGATACAGTTCTTACGATAATAAACTGAACAGATAGCTAACAAATCTGATGTGAGTAATGCCGTAAACTCCTCATTGTAAATAATATTGTTTAACAGTATATAGAATTCCTTTCACAGTGCCCGATACTAGGAAGTAAGAGAATCATGTGCATATGATGTAATAGTTGAACTATTTATGTTTGGAGAAATATGTTTTTAATATACGAATGATGAAAAGTATGATGCAGATATAAAATAATTACAACCTTATCACAATCCATGAAACATACCTCTACACGTGAGTATCCAGTAATTCTCGGCCTTGCTGGCTACTTATATGGTGCTAAGTGGTAGTTCGCCGGGGGTGGTAGTGCAACCCGTATCAAGCACTGCCATTGCTAACTTTGGTCGTCATAAAAAATCGGAATAAGATGAAAATTTCTCTTGATCCAGACTCTATGGTTCCCTCGATGGTTCCCAAATTGTGCCTTGGATAAACAATCTTGAATCAGAGTGTCTGTACTTCTTTTTCTATGTTCAGACTGTTGGGGGTCTAGTATAGGCATAGAGGTAACTCTAAGACCAGAAGCTCCCGAAGAAACGTGCTCAACTTTTTGGCTCAGCTCTGGTACTATCTTCGATCCTAATCTAATCGATGCACCCCTCAGAACATCGAAAAATCAACGAACCCCTTATTTTATCTGTCAAACTTTCATAGCGACTCAAAACAAACATAGTGCTGTACTAGAACTTCGACTAGAATGGGGTACACTAATAGATGTGTTTGAGACCAATAGGCTAGTCAAGTAGTGAGCCAAAATCGTTAGCTTCCACCGGTTAGTATTTTTTCTAATCTAGCTGGCAAAAGGTATAAGCATAGAGGTAACTGTAAGACTAGCAGGTCCCGAAGAAACGTGCTCAACTTTTTGGCTCAGCTCGAGCTCAGCTCTGGTACTCTCTTCGGTCCCAAGCTAATCGATGCACCCTTCGAAACATAGGAAAATCCACGAGCCCCTCATTTTATCTGTCAAACTTTCATAGCGAATCAAAACAAACATAGTGTAGAACTGGAATTTATACTAGAATGGGGTACGTTAATCGATTTGCTTATGACCAATAGGCTATTCAAGCAATAAACCAATTTAAAATCGTTAGTTTTCACCGCCCTAATACATTTTTTATGGTTATTTTGCTTAACGACGTGTTTGGGGTATCATCAAAACCATTTGTGGAAAAGTTTGACTATTTAGGTAATTGTTCGTTTATGGTATTTGTTTATTAGGGCGGTTTGTAATAATTTGAATTCAAATACGATTTAAAATTGGCTCACTACTTGACTAGCCTGTTGGTCCCAAGCAAATCGATTAACGCACCCCATTCTAGTCAAAATTCTAGTACTACACAATGTTTGTTTTCATTCGCTATAAAAGTTTGACAGATAAAATGAGGGGTTCGTGGATTTTCCTATGTTTCGAGGGGTGCATGGATTAGCTTTGGATCGAATATACCCAACAAACAATTCAGATTCACAAATAAGTACTGTTACCGGCGGGTAACATTTTGTTTTCCATCATTAGATGTGGGGAGTAGGGTAAATAAAATTGTTAGTGTAGCTAACGGTCAATTTGAAGTGGGGGCGATCAACGCCCGACGGTGTGGATCGCGTGTGCCGTCTGATAGCAGTAGGTAGCTGATAGCGCTCTACGCTACCTACGATCGTGGGCGGATGGAGAGGATCGCAAACGACTGGCCGAAGCAGAACGAAGGAGAGAGATCCCGACTGAGCGACGAGATCAGTAAGTGACGAGCCTCTGCCGAGGATGAATGAAATTTGGCGAAAAACCAGACGTTTTCGGGATCAAAACCCCCGTTTCGACCCACGCGGTTTGTGAAGTGTCCGGTATCAGTACAGCCGTCTAATCATCTCCGGGTCCGGGTTATCGGACCGAAATTTATTCAGCAACTGTGCTTGTCGGGTCGTCACCGAAGCGCCTAGCAAGAATTGGCCTCTCGTTGCCGGGAAAGCGCGGGCTGTTAGTTCCAGCAGCAAGTCGACCATTGTGGCCGCGTCGGCCTCTGCTGGCTCCGGGCGACCCCACAACCAAGGTCACATCGCCGTAGCCAGGCTTCCCAGCGGTTCAAGAACACGCCCTGCTGGTCCGCTATCCACCAGGCTATCATCACTCATGGTACAGCGTCGGCGGTCGACGACGCCGAATAGTGAACAGGCGCAGTTGAGCGCTGGGTCCATAGCCGCCACCATCGTCGCATCCATCACTGCCACCAACGCTGCAAGAATCGATTCCCTTCCTGGCGACCGCCCGATCACCGTCTAGAGCGAAACTACCGCCCGTTATCCCGCCCGAGCTGCCAACCTCGGTATTCTTCAGCCACGTTGGGCCGAGATCTAACCATCACCCGATTTCTGCACCGCCCCCACTATCATCACTGGCCGAATAAAGCGTAAGGTAACAAAATTCGCATTTTTCTAGGTCCCCTCACATCCGAAAGGTCTCCCTCGCCCAAACGCCCTGAGACCCGGAACCTTTGTGGCTTTGTGTGCCCACCTGGAAGCTACTGTCGGCTCTAGCCCAGTAGCTTGGGGTCTTGGCTGGTCTCCTTCTGGGACACAGCGGTTCCGGGGCCGAAAAGTGGTCTTATAGTACATATACTCAATAAATGCTTTATAACAGTGTACAATCATAGAGGTAACTCTAAGACCACTGGGTCCCGAAGAAAATCATTAATATTTTTGGCTCACTCAGCACCAGAACAACGGTCCCAAGCAGTCCCAAGCTATTTCACTCACCCCTGCATGTTCTGCATGAATCCACACACCCCTGATGTTATCTGTCAAACTTTCATAGCGAATCAAAACAAACATAGTGTAGTAATAGAATTTCAACTAGAATAGGGTACGTTAATCGTTTGCTTGGGACCAATAGGCTACTAAAGTGGTGAGCCAATTTAAAATCGTTAGTTTCGTATTGATTGTTGGTACAATGCTGAATAAAACGAGTTGTCAAATTATAAGCTGAAAAAACCTCATTGAGATCGATAGATGCGCCTTTATTGCGCTGTTTGCTCTGATTTGATAAATATACTTATTAAAAGCTATACAAACGATGACTGTCTTCCTGATTCAATACTAGAAGTTTGATCTAATAACATCCCTAATAAACAAATATCATAAACGAACTGTATCCCGGATGGGAAAACTATCCCACAAATGGTTTGGACGATACCCCGAATACGTCGTTAAGCTCTCTTTTACGGTTATTTCTATTAGGGATACCGAATAAGTGTAATTTGCACATAGATTTACACTTTAATTCGACTGTTTTCAATTGATTTAATAACATACTTTATTAGACGTCTAATACCACAGACAGACATACAAATTAGTACCATAGAGGTAACTCTAAGACTAGAAGGTTCCGAAATAACATGCTCAACTTTTTGGCTCAGCTCTGGTACTCTCTTCGGTCTCAAGCTAATCGCTGCACCCCTCGAAACATAGGAAAATCCACGAACCCCTCATTTTATCTGTCAAACTTTCATAGCGAATCAAAACAAACATAGTGTAGTACTGGAATTTATACTAGAATGGGGTATGTTAATCGATTTCCTTATGACCAATAGGATAGTCAAGTAATGAGCCAATTTAAAATCGTTAGTTTCGCATTGATTGTTGTTAGTACCCGAGCTAGTACCGTTGTACCATAGAGCTAACTCTAAGACTAGAAGGTCCCGAAATAAAGGGCCACCCAAATTAGATCCGTTTGCGTTGCGTTGACGTAAATTTGACAGTTAGACAATAGATTTAGCTGTCACTTTGCCGCAACGCTTCCGATCCGGATCTAATGTGCGTGGGCCTTAACGTGCTCAACTTTTTGGCTCAGCAGTAAGACTACACAGAAAAAAAAGTTGTTGAATATTACATCCAAACTGCTGCAACCAGCGAGGCAACCAGGTCAATCCAGCGGTTGTGTAGTCAAACGCTTCAAAAGCTGCTTGGAGCACTCTTAAATGATTGTTTACGTTCGGTTTAACTATATGCTTTATAAGACCTACGATAACTTTTATAGCACCTTTGTTTAACTGATTGACAAGAGCTATATAGAACGTGAAATAAACGCATCAAAACAAACCATTGGGAGCTCTTATACAACACCTGAGTTGATCAAACGTTGAATAATAGCTTCCAGAGTTGTACAAGAATGTGGTTGTACGGTAAAACGTTTACCCAAAATCAATTTCTTGTTGAAGAAACGCTTCCATTGTGATTTTATTCAACTGCATGCTGAATAATAACTGTACAATTTGTTTATTACAACTTCTGTAAAACTCTTGTTTACACTGGTTTGGAGAACCTGTTCAACTACAGCATTATATGTATACGCGATATAGGAGTAGAAGCAACTTTTATACAACGTTTATAGATACATATTTAAACTCAAGCTTTATTATTGTGGTGAAAGCTCTTATACAACGTTTGTAGACACTTCTTGACAGCTGCTTTGAAATTTAGTAGAGAGTAAACCTGAGAGGCGTTTGTTGCACTCTTTTATGACTCCTAAATAATCATTGTACAGTAAGCGGTGAAAAGCGTTTATAGCACTTTTCAATGACTCCTTAATAACCGTTGTGTAAGTACTCACAATATTCACAGATTAAAATTAGTTTAACAATTGTCGTGGTACGCCAACATAATTGCTTGTACAGTTTTTATTAATTTAATTTATTTGTGCACATTGAAAAAATATGTAATTATGCCATAATTCATCGTAAGGAATAAGTGCACCCAAGACACCAAGACGATTAGACGTAAACTTGCAGTTTTATCACACTTTTTAATAAGTGAAAACGCGCTTATTAGTCCAGTTTGTTGTGAAATGCGCAATACCTTACATTAGGTACTTTTTACCTCGTTTTTTACTATTGCGTTCACGCTAAGATGCATATACCTTAAAGCGAGCCTTAAAGTCGGTAAAGAATTCCTTGATATCGGTAGAAATTTCCGATAATCGAAGAAAGTGCACATACCTAAACTTTCGGTAATAATTGATTACCAATAATTTCGTCAATAGCTCAGCTGCAAAACCTTTCCCTGTTGTACTTGAAGGTTTGGACGCTAGATAAGAACCCCCTTTATCAAACTATGTGGTAGAATCAGCGCGAAATCTGTTTGCATAGTAGTGGTTATGAAAAGAGAGAGTCGATGAAGTGAATCGATCAAAGCAGATAGGACCATTTGAAATGTTCATCGAGATTTAAAGTAAAAAGTTACGATATATATCGGTAAAAAACTGGGTACTGCGAACACAGCCGTTTTTGTTTTGCAAGTCAGCAGGAAACAACTTGAAAACTTTGCGATATCACAAATTGTTTCGCTAATGCACTGCTCACAATTTGCATATACATGCTGTCGAAAGTTCACCCTTTGCTCCATAAATAACGTGTACATGGTGTTGGGAGTGCACCTACCCACATAATTCTTATAAAGTTTGTTTGCATTCTTCCTTCAGCAGTTCGTGCAGGTTCGTTCATTCGTTACATTGTTTACATCCGAGTATTTGAGCAAGTTTCTTGTTGAAGAATATTAGTAAAAAAATGCCGAAATGACAATATTTTCAACATTGACCACAATACTTTCTCTGCCGACGGGGATTGTATGAGAAAAGTATCACTTTTAGCAGCTCTAGATCGTTGGATTCTTTTTGACAGCACCAGTTGGATTCTTTTTGACAACCATTTCGTGTTTCTCCGCACCACTCAGGTAAAAAATACCGATAACTTTTTACCGATAATTTTAGGTAATTGCAGCTAAGAGTGTTCTGAACTTTTTTCTTACCGTGTACTACTAGTTGGTCTAAATTTTGTACTCGATTTTGTACTAAAATCATCCAAACTGGCCTGGCATCACTGGCAGTGTTTCAGCTGTCAATATTTTTCTTCTCTCGCGACGAACGGGTTGTTTTTTTCTTCATCATTCGCGAGTGAAAAAATGGTGACAAAAGTTCGTAAATTACTTTGTTATTAACTTTAGTGTCCCCGAAAAGGTACGACTAAACGAGTGCACAAACTGCTGTAGGAAGTTATCAACATACCCAAATCCTAAACGGGCGATACAGTGTGAGAGGAAAATAGTGAATCTTTCCTGCACCGAGATATCACCCATTTTGGTAAGTGCAAAAGTGTAAATCTCGATGAACATTTCAAATGGTCCTATCTGCTTTGATCGATTCTCTTCATCGACTTTCTCTTTTCATAATCACTGCTATACAAACATATTTCGCGCTTATGCTACCACATAGTTTGATAAAGGAGGTTCTTATCTAGTGTCCAAAACGTCAAATACAACAGAGAAAGGTTTTGAAGCTGAGTTATTGACGAAAGAGAAAGTCGATGAAGAGAATCGATCAATGCAGATAGGACCATTTGAAATGTTTATCTAGAAATGGGAATAAAATAATTGCACTGTGAACCAACCAGTCTGAGTGTAGTGGCACTGAAGCGAAACAAAAAGAGTTGAAAAAAGTTGCATATTATTGGGTGAATAAAGAAGATTCCTTCATCGCGGAGCATCATCTCCCTCTTAGCTCACCGTAACAACGGGTTCAATACGGAAGCTGTCTCGTTCGGGGTCGGGGCAAGCAGTTAGCAACCGATGGTTCCTGGGGAGCACTTTTTGTTATGTGAAATCGGAACGTTCTCGCATCCTCGTTCGGACTGTTCCAGGCGAGTAAGGTGCTTACGAGGCAGAGACACTATAAAGGTGGAAGATGGATGGGGTTTTAGTTTGTACGGTTGATTTCGTTCCGAAAAGTTAGTTGGAAACATTCGCAGCGTGTGCCCCATTAATTGCGCTGTCCCAATTCCACGGATCGTACGTGTGGTGTCTGTGGATTGCTGATTCAGATTGTAGTGAAGAAAAATGAAATATAATTTTAGAATCCAAAGGTTGTGGAATGCTTCTATGGTGTTGTGTGTGATTAAACATTGAGACAACAGTGACGTATTTGCGACGAATGGAACTCGGAACGTTTCGCTATACCTAGGGATAGTGCTGTGCTATAGACAGAAAGACGGCGATCAATCGTTGCCTATCGCATCGGTGATAAATAATGTTGGTTTGTTGTTGCTTGGTAAGAATGATCCATATTGAGCTGGTTGAACCGACGAGGAACATTTTAAAGTAGAATTTTTAGTTAAGTAAATTTGACTAACTAAAATTTAAATTAAATAGTACTCATTGAGAATTTATATAACTGGAACTACCAAAGGTGCGTAACGCCATTGAGCACCTATGTAGGAGTGCCAGTTAAATAAATCCTTAATGAGCGCTGTTTAAAAGCAATTAACCACTTTATTCGAGCACTTAAAATGACGTTTACTACCACTCGAACTTTGAAATAAAACATTATTTTGAGATTTTTTCTTCTAGAACCTCGAGAAAAGTAGCCAACATTTGTGCGTTTCATAAAAAAATAGAAATTATTTGGTCCAGTTTTGTGAAATCGCTGGTAGAAAGTCACGCCAAAACTGCTTGACAAAGTGGTCAATTTTAGCTATTCTAATGAACGGGGTTCTACGGTAAATTTAGATGAATTAATTACATCATTCGAGCAGTTTTGTGACGACCTTCTACCATAGATTTTAAGGAAATGAGGCAAAAAAAATCGGATTTTTTTTTTACCTTTCATAACTAAAACCCTATTTTCTCGAAGTTCTAGAAGAACAAATCTCACAATATTGCTTCGAGGTTAAGTTCGAGTGGTAAGAAACGTCATTTTAAACTGCACAAATTATATGATCCATTATTCACTTAATTCGAGCAGTTCAAAACGAATATAGCCTTATAGCGAATTCTTTTACTATCGGGGTTGGAACCAGTTCCAACCCAGTGCGAAACCGAACTTTTTGTCAGTGCGAACCTCAACCTGAGCTGGGTTTTAAGAACAAACGAGCAAACTGACGTTTGTCAGAAAACAAGCAGACCCAATCTTGATACCCGATCCAGGTTGGAACTGAATAATTAACTACTTCACCTTTACGCACAAACTGAGTAGAACTATGCTCGCATTTGTGTAAATGTCATCCATATTCGAGTAAAAATTTGGTCGCACATGAGTGACATTTACTCAAATACGATCCGAATTCTACTCAGTTTATGAGTAACCGTGATTTTATCGAAACTAAGTTATCGGAACTCAAATTTGAGTCAAAATCTACGACCGTACAATTTATCTAATTAAATTACAAATAATTAGTTATACAATGGATCATAATATGTTTTTCTCATTCAATCAGCTTCAAATTACGTTTTCTACCACTTTGTCGTGTATGAGTAACATTTACTCATGTTAATTCTTAGACTAGGCCTGTACCATTTTTGCATTAGTATACTGCCCTGTGCAACATAACAGTCCCATTTAGCATTTTTGGCGAAAATGAGTTTTACATTGCAATCGATTGTCAAGTAACATCACTTTACAATGTACATGAGCCCATGGAGAAAAAAAAATCTTCAATAGCAATAGCCAAATTTGCGTGACATAATTAATGGACCATCCCTAAGTACTATCATATGCCAAGGGAAGGTGATACATTTTTCAACCCGAAAAATTCCTAGACCGGACCGGAAATCGAACCCAGCCGCCTCCCACATTGCTTGCTCTATAGCTGCGTCTGTATCGACTGAGCTAAGGGTGGCCCCTTATTTGTGAATTGATTGATTTATTTCTTTATTATAGAGGCTTGAGCTTGAATTGGTTGTATCATTTTCTTAAAATCTATGGAAGATGGTTATCCTTAAACTGCTTTGCATGACAAAATAGTCGACTACTGCAAGAAAACTCATTTAAAATTAGGGAAAATCGGGAAGAGACGATAGTTAGGAAATGTACTCAACTTAAGAACAGATTGTGTAAGCTACTGTTGTAGAAAGGTAGATAATTTTATCGTTTTTTTGTTTGTTAGCTCGTCTTGATAAAGTAGGAACTTGTAAGACAAAAAGCCTATTTTGAGAGTGTCGTCGTTTAAATTCAGAATGGAAATAATTTGCCTATATTTTTCTATGGCAATAGTCAAATTCAGCATAGCCTTCCGAGCTTTTCTCTATTTAACACCAATGCAATCTATCGTGATTTGACAACCGTCAGCAGGTTGGACGTTACCAGGGAATGATACACTGCACTAAGACAGCAGATGTTGGGAAAGTCATTGGTATCATTGGCGTCGGAGAAATGCGAGATGTGTTGGTTATACGGTAGATATTTGGGAATACAAAACTACTCCCAGATTTTTAACATAGTTCACACTTTCGACTATTGTGCCCAGAAGTTCCAAACCGAAAGTAAACGATTCTTTCTATTGAAAAAAGTGATCACATCAAATTGCATCACGAAAAAAAACCCTGTAGAAAATTATCCATTGTATTGCCTATTGAAAATTTGGGTAGAAGTAGTTTTGAGTGTATTGTTTACACTGTATTTTTATCGCTGTCAATTTTTTAAAAGTTTAAAAAAATGGCGTCACCCGAAAAACAACACCGCGAATTGATTTCGCGCCAGCACCTGAAAAATCCTCAACTCTCTCATCGGGACTTGGAATCTGTCCAAGTCTTTCGTTCAGAGAACCAAGGACCAGGAGGGACTGCAGACGTTCAGGTTAGGTTAGGTTATCTTTATTAGCGAGACTTTCAGCCAGAGGCTGCATACGTACAAAGTGCAGAAGGCTCCAAATCGTGACGAACGGCAAAATACGGTGGGAAAGTTATGGGCCCAGAAACTGTACACCCAGATGCTGACGAAGCCTCATGGTCTCATCATGGATGATGAAACTTATGTCAAGGCGGATTTCCGGCAGCTTCTGGGGCTACTGTTCTTCACTGCCCAGCACAAGTTTGATGTTCCGGAAGAAGTAAGGAAGCAGAAACGTTCAAAGTTTGCCAAGAAATACATGATTTGGCAAGCGATCTGCTCATGTGGCAAACGGAGTGCGTCGTTCGTGACTACCGGGACTAAACGGGGAGATCTAGGAATGTCTACAGAAACGTCTGCTTCCTCTGTTGAAGCAACATTAGGGCCCTTCAAATGTTGTCCTAGAGTGGTACGAAGCAAACGGGGTCACTTTCGCACCCAAGGACATGAACTCCCCTCCCCCCCCCAACGCACCGGAACTAAGGCCCATCGAAAAATACTGGGCTATTATGAAGCAGGCACTACGGAAGCATATCAAGGAGGTCAAATCTGAAGAAGGCATGAAGAAAAAGTGGGTTTCCGTACAGAAGAAGCTGCAGCCAGATGTTGTACATAACCTAATGAGTGGAGTTACGCGTAAGATGCAAGCGTCCGGTATGGTATTGAAGTTGAAAGAAATAAAGATGCCAAAAGCTTACTTATTGGTTATATTTTATTGTCTTAAAGTTTGAAAAGGAACGGTCAACTAGGTAATTTTCTACCGCGTTTTTTCTGTTGGCCTGCCTGTCCAGGTCGCGTAGATTAACGGGCGCGACCTCTTCCGACCACGTGTGCCTCGGGGATACTCCGAAGTCGACAGGTGGAGTCAAAAGCGGTTTCTCACGAAAGGTGGTGTGTCGGCAAATGGCCTTCGCTGCCACGAACCTATGGGGATAACACACGCGCACGCTAGTAAGACGACCTATTTTGTAGTCTAGGAATTACTACCTTTACCTCATGAACTTCTGGATCCACACACTTTGCCGCCCACTGCACGGCACTAGCTAGAGTTTGCCTAACTTGTCTCTAAAGGAAAGGGAAATATTTTAACAATCCTACTAGGGATTCTCATGTCGTTAACTACCTGTTTAAACACACCACGACACGATAAGAAAACTGACCACTCTTGCCTCTTCCACAAGTCGATTCGAATTGAACGATTCAAGCTAGGACATTCCTCAGTTAGCCGCTAGTACAGAACTTTGCCCCGGAATCGTGGAATTGAACGAAGTCCAATTTCACGAACGCCAAAATTCTCGCAATTGTGCACCTGATTGTTAGGGCTTCGCAGCATCTCTTTCTAACGAGCTGTTCAAGTATCCAGACAATTTCTCTCCGAAATTCAGGGGGAGGGCGCAAAGCCGAACGGAAAAAAAGGTCAACGCATTTTAAATGGAAATTTGGAGGGGCGATGTCCGCTTCTCGACGTGGTCGCGTCGGTA